TTTATACATATTATAGATTTCACAATTTATATGAAAATGTCTTGTACAGCTTTCCGAGAGAAAAGCTTGATAACAAAGCATTTAATAGCATAATGTATGCAGAATATGAACTAAAAAATCTTATGTTTTTTGATAATATAATAAAGCATTGGTTAATGAAATCAATTCTGCAAGATCTGAGGGAATAATTCTTTCGCAGCCAAGATAAATAGAAGCAATTATCTATTAATAATGTAATGTCACGATTCTTACATTGCATTATTATCTAGTTACTTGAGCTATTGAACATTGTTATTCGACGTCAATCGTTTCATGTACTGTAACTGTTTTCAAGTAATTCAAAACCGTTAACCATCGTTGGCCACGTAACAAAGTTACGGTTTATGTTTTTCCTTCATAATTATTATTTATAGTTTTCATTGGTTTTATGTAGATCCGTTTTACACGAATGAAAATCACGTAAATATAATCTGCCAGCACAAAAGAAAACGAAAGAATGGAAAGAAACATTGATATAACTATATCTTTACTTCGTACAGCTTAATAAAATAATAATAATAATAACATTTCGGAAAACAAAAGTAAATTTTATCTGGTATCACTAAATTCAAATCGCGTATAAACGATACGTGTACGATCAGGTGAAAAAAATGAAAATTAATCAATTAGATTCGCAGTACTCAGTCTAGGCATCGCACAGTGAGGTATCTGACCCAAAAACCCGGAAAAAATCGGTATTAACTCGGCTGTAACAATATAAAATCAAAATTGCGTTTTAATATTTAAAAAATAAAAGTGGCGATGCAAATCTTTTTGTAAAAAGTCGAGGTCACTTCGACTTTGACTATTTACAAAACAATGTATTTAGAACTTTATTTAACCAGTTAAGTGCGTTCGATGAGTATACACGTCATCTTGAAATCAAAATGATACTAATTCTTTCAACGATCAATTATTTATTTTTCAGATAAACATATAATTCTTCCTCGTTTTGCTGTGGTTTTTCGTTAGAATATATTATAGATGCATTTGTCCTACGTTTGACGAGTATACACTTCATTCTCCGATTTCATTGCGCGCATTATCGAAGATTTTTCAAATTAAATTCCACGGTGAAGAAAGGTAAAATTAAAGTGACCTTGACTTTTTGCAAAAAAAATTTACATCGTGAAGTGGCACATGGACAAACTATACATTATCATCGTGTTCGAAGAGGAATCGGTCCGTCGCTCGACGACCACGTCGTTGAGGAGGAACCTCGTCGTCTCCGACGCAGTTTCAGTTTCACGGGGGCGGGGTAGGGCCGGTTTACGATTCATAAGACAACTCGGTGGATTGAATTAAGCGAGCGTCGCGGCAGCTGCCAGTCCGTTCCGTTCCGTTCCTGGTCCGTCCGCGCACCCACTGCGAATCTGCATAATCCCGTTCACGTCGACGATTCTAATTGGCGGATTGTTTCAATCTCTGTCGCCGCGAATATTTGCATTGCTGTTCCTCTCATTTCTGTTCGCTCCCACTCCCTCCCCCGCTCTTCGTCGCTCTTTCTCGCTTCCTCCGATCTTCCGCTTTTTGTTTCATCCACACCTTCCTTCCACCCCCTTTTTTCGGCAAGGTTTCTCCACCTCCAGAACTTTGTTCCGCGTCTTCGGCATCTGCCAGCAAAGCTTGTAATTTTTACTTTTGTTACAAATTCCGAGTCCTCACCCCCTTTTTCACGCGTTTACTTTGGTCCTCCAGTTTCTTTCTTAACCAATTAACTGCGTTCGACGAGTATACACGTCATCTTGAAATCAAAATGATACTAATTCTTTCGACGATGAATTATTTATTTTTTTAGATACGATATAAGTCTTCTTCGTTTTGCTTTAGCCTTCGTTAGAATACATTATAAGTGCATTTAGCCTGCGTTACACGAGTATACACTTCACTATTTGATTTCATTGCATTTACTGTACGGTTTGCTCTATCGTTCTTAGGAAAGTTAATAGTCATTCATTTAGATCTTGGAAATTAAAGATTTAAAAGTAGACAATTAGGATGCGTGACTGCACCAATCAAAATTGAACGAAACACTCATCAAATAATGTTTGTACAATTCAATACGAGTGAAATTGATTCGTTCTGTAAACGTAGTTTTTACACGTTCGAAGACCGTGCTTTTCCAGTGATTGTTCCACGTAATATGTTATTCGTGTAATTTTTGTATATTTAGAACATAATAAATACTATATTCCAAATATATGTTAATATCATTATAACAACGTTAATCAACAACGTCACATATATGTGACTCTCTACACGAATCGTTGGGTCATATATACGGAATAGGGTACATGGTCGCGAACGAGTTAACCCTTAACCTCTTACACTGGAAAGACGTACCACGTACGTCGAGATGTTTTTGTTCTAAAATTGCTAATTATATCTTACATATATCGCTGGTCTTGTTGCATTACACATACTAGATTGTTGTGAAATCACTATATAAAGTTATTAACACGTTGACTGCCACGGTGATCACTAATAACCGGAGTTTCCAAATTGCTGAACAGTTACAATAAAAAGATAGATTATAATAAAAATATTCAGTAACGTAAGTGTCTAGATAATGGTGTAACATAACTACTGTGATATCAAGACATTAATAATTATTTTCAATACTATTTTCCTTTGTTGTTAAGGAGTAAGTATTACTATGTAAAACATTCGAAATTTTAGCGGCAATCAATGTGTTAATAAATAAAATTAGTCTACATATCTATGCAAAATAAGTGAAATGAAATTGAAAATTACATTAAATTCTTCGTGCAGGATTTTGCCGAAACCTCGAATTAATTTTCAGTGCAAGAGGTTACAGATCACGGGTTAACATTTCAATCACTCGAATTTAGGTAATGTGACTTTTTGTATAAATAGAAGAATTAATTTTTCTCAGTGAGATATCGGAAAACCCGAATTTCGTTAATTCTGTGAGACGTAAGAAGATTAAGTGAACAATGGATTTAAAATATTGTGTGAATAATTTGATGAGTGTTAACACTAGAGCTTTCAAACAGTTGAGGTGCCTTATTTATGGTCTCAAAAAAAGTGCAAGAAAGATTTTAATTTTGAGATTTCGAACTTTATTATTTTATCTGTACAAGTATATGAATTTATTGAATAATTTCTCACGAAAGTGTTCTTGTGATTTTAATAATTCTGATTAATTTGAGCTGATATTATTAAAAGACATAACGAACGATGACATTAATTTTTTGGGTATTTATTCGAACGATCTTAAGTTAACTTATCATAATGTTATCAGTTCTCTTTGCATACTTCGTTGTATATATTACAACCACATGCATTAAGATTACTTCAAGTCATGACGAATTAAAGTGGTTTCATGGGATACAATAAGTTTCTTTCTACCATCATTCATATTTTTCTGGCACTGTATAATACATAGTTTAATTGTTACTTAGTTAAATTGAGTTGAAAATTGAATTTATAACGAATGTTTATGTAATTATTGATTTAAACGTTTTATTAAAAATTATATGCTTCGGGGTATATGGGTGCAATCAATAGACCGAGAATATTGAGGCAATTGTGGGTGTTAAGTGGAATTAAACGGAAATTCGTTCACAGTGTTAATGTATCGGGTTCAAAATAATATTGACAGCTTACTAACCTTTATTCAAGTTTTTGGTCTGTTTAGTTTTATACAATCATCTGTATATTATAATCGCGTAAAATCCGCAGTTCGGCGATCAGTTCGGTAATTGCGTATATCTACGGCTTACTGTGCATAATTACTTATAAATCTGGAAAATTCAATCAATGTCACTCTAAATGAAACGAGATTTTCCAAACTTCTCTCCTTTTTCAAAAATTTCATTTGGAGATTGCTTTCCATTCAGATACAGTAAAAAAAATATTGTCATATTTCGGAGTTCACGTTGTTTTTTTAACATTGTAGTTCACATAGACAGATAAAACTGATTCGTTCACATTCTTATTAATCTTAAACTACCAGCTGAAATTTTAAAAACTCTATGGATTCCTCAAGCAATAAAATTATTATATTTGATAAAGATAAAATTATACTGTATTTTAACGTGCACAATAATTTAACCTAAATGTTTGGCTATACAAATTTATCAAAATTTTATTGGACAAGGAAGAAAGTTTGAGGTATGGAACTCACCTCGGCAATTAACACTAAAACTATCCAGCAGTGAAATTGACTTTTGACAATCCTCTATAGAAACTCCAGGAGTGCATCTATTGAAACTTTACTTGATTTATAATTCAGTTCGTGTATTGCCAAATCAATTTCTTTAATAATTTCTCAGAGAAACATCTGTTATCCTTTTAACTCTTTACACTCCGAATTTCTTTTGCATTTTTTCCTCAATAACTCTATATTATTACGATATTCTATTTGAAATGCATTTAAAAAAATAGTTAGTTTGTAGAGGACAGTGTAAACGATTCTTTTTAATAATAATATTGAAAATAACATAATAATATAATCTATTTTAAAAATATCTTGGAAAAGAATCACACTTGTGAATAAAACTGATGTCGAGTCACGCTCTACATAGGAGCGTAAAGGGTTAATAATTGCAAAATGTAGAAATCAGGAATGGGTAATTTTGACCCGTCTGGTAGTTTTATTATTAATGATTGAAATTAAACGAACATTTTTCGTATGTCATTATTGTTTCCCCACTATTTCACAAAGAACACAACAAGTTAACAACAAACTAGAATTATATGGGCATGTATTTATATATATGTAGTTTGGTGGTATCAATGATAAGGGATAAGTTACCATTCCAGGGGTTAAAACGGAGATGTAGAGGGAAACAGGATCCAGAGGCGCCAAAAGTGTTTATTACAATTTTAAAAAGACACTTAAATGGAATATTATAGGGGCGGCCGGTGAAAATGTGTTACCGTTGACTTTTAGGAGGGTGCTACGCTGGCGAATAAATTGTTTCGTCGCGGTGAATCCGAAGTAAATGCTCGGACGGACTTTCTCGCTGAGGCTTCTTTATCGTCCCTGGTAATAGAATAAAGGAACCGACGACGCAATGGAAATTCTCAGTTTTTGCATAATTGACGTACTCTCGGCCGCGCGACGCTGAATTATTTTACGCGGGGTAATGCGATTTAAATACGGTAGAGGGCCGGAGAAGATGTTTCCGCGAGCTACGTGGGCAGAATGTAGATTTCAGTTTCATCGTCCGTTTCCTGGCCGCACATTTTTCACCGTTCCGAAGGGGAGGAATCGCGAGAAAACACGGAGAAGATACAGTCGCCGATCCGACGATCAGGTCTCTGAAAGCTTAACGTGTCGTTGACAAATGTTTAAAAGAATGTAACCATTTCACAGAACCGGAATTTTGTATTAGGTCATTCCATAAGTTGTGTTTATATTTCCCGCGTTACGTTTTGTAATCGCAGAGGGATACAAAGTCTTGGATGACTAAACTTTTATTCTTCAGCTCAGTCAGTAGAAGGCATTCCAGAGCGACAGGTCGTGAAGTTATAAGAATTGTATATTTAACCTGTTGACTGTGGAAATTAATTAAAAAAATCTCTCGTCTTGCACGCAATAAAATTAAAAGTGAACTATACACTCGTCAAACGCAGGACGAATACACATAGGGTATATTTTAATTCATCTAGGAAGAATTAGTATCATTTCATGCTTCAAGATGACGTGTATACTCGTCAAACGCAGTTAACGGCTTAATAAAATATCATTTTATGAAGTAGAATAACAAACGGCAGGAACTTATGGGACGACCAAATATTTATGTATTTATTCTTATCGTAACCAGTCAAGTAACTGGCTACAAAAGAAAGGTAAACAAGTTAGATGATACATTTTTTTTAGTGGAAACAGAAACTGAAGTAAGGACAAAAATTGAAAAACTGATTAATTGGACAATATAAGAATTTATGTGAAGTTAGATAAACAAAAGAAAACACGGGGTTTTAGTCGAATTTTAAATTTGGAAAAGACCGGTTCGCGGTACGGTTAGTGTTTACACGTTTAAGACATATTAAATCGAAGGTATCCTCAGCAGTTGACAACGTTTGTGATATTACAATAGTAAGTGAAACTGAAAAATGTACAAATAGAGAAAATATTTTTCAGACACTTCAAGACAAAATTACATTATACCTTATTGTAAATTTCATTCTTCTAATTTGATCGTTTTCTTAATTATTATCTGGAAACTTACACGTGAATACCCGTAAGATTTTGAGAAAATATCATATGATGGATCGTTGGTCTTGAATGTTTGAGAATTTAGTAGTGAAATAGTCTTGATAATTTATTTTATTAATTGTTGTCTATGTTTCTGATTTATGTCACTTTTTTACGAACTGGAGGATACCAGTGTGACTCCCGTGAGTAACGTTTGAGAGTTAGACACCAATTAACATCTTCCATGAACAGTCTGTTAATCCCTTCTCCTGTAATTTCTTTCACAACTGTGATAAAACTACTTTATCGTTAATAGTTTAGTAGAAACAGAAAAGGATCTGATGCTTATTCTGTATTTACGTTTACTTTAAAAGTTAACACGTTGAATGCCATCGGGGTCAACGGTGACCCCCGGCCAAATCGAATTACTGTAATTCCCTCAATTAAACGATGATTATTAAAACATATTCCCGTATTGTAAATAACTTTGCATAATGCGTTAACATTCAGCAAGACACACTTGCGATAATAACAACGTAACTCAATTAAATAATTTAATATTGCATTTCTTTCATTTCGCATATTTTGCACCTTAAAATCGTGCGACATTCAACGTGTTAACCCTTTACCTTACAACAACGAGTGAGACTCGTGGTGAAGATGTTCAACATGATTCAATAAATATATGCATTACTCAGTTTATTCGAATTCAAAGTAAATATTATTCCTCTATAATCAACTATTATACTTAAAAGGAAATATAGGCATAACATATGCTTAGAATTTTTCTCTTTTTCCAATAAATTATTAACGACAACGTAGCCGTATCGATCGGAGCTGAGAAAGAAATCATAGGGAAAGGGGTTAAAAATTGATAATAGACAAGTAATATTTCATTTACATGAGAAATAAATAAATAATCTTTATTTTTGTCAAATTCGATTGAAAATTTCGTCACAAGTCTGAGTCGATGTTATAGGAGAAGGGTTTAAGAACTTTATCTGGAAACTTGTGACTCGAGATTGGACTAAAATAATGCATCGGCTGAATTTTACGGCGCGGCAGACTTTAAAATTTCCTGTTTGGAAAGGAGTGCGCGCTGTAAGCAATGGAAACGTGTCGCTATTGTCTCGCGACTGAGCTATCGCGGGGGAGAAAAAGTCGTTCCACGTCCCTGGGGATTTCTCAGAAAGATCCATATAGGTATCTGGTGCCTTTCTAGCCTTTTATGTCCTCTTCTCGTTACGACGGCGATTAAAAAGTCCGCAGAATATTAGACGTGTCAGACGTATTCGTATCAACATTGGATTATACGATAGTTTTATTGAGTTTGGACGATAAAATTTTGATGTTTGTTGTACGTGGTGAACAAAATTTTGTTCTTCGAAACGAACAATATCTGTTTTCAAACTATTATAATGTGTATAAAGGACACTTCTTCCACCGTTTTTACTTAGTTTTGGTTTAGCCAGCAAACAGTTGAGTGAGTAAACTAAATCTAAAACCTAAGAACGTCGAAACTTTTACATCATCCCAATAGAATATCAGAATGTCCGGGAAAATGTACATTCTCGGTGATTCGATTTACACATAGTGAAATAGAAATTGAACAGATTCAAGCTGAAAATGTAAAGATGACTGCCAAGTGAATTCATATTCAGAGAATTTATATTGAAATTCAATTTCAGAGGCAAACTATTAGAATGTTTGACATGTATTTCCCTAAATTTCACAACATTGATTTAATATACACGTACATAGAATTTCATTTAAAGAGATAGGCAACGAGAAGAAACCGTGTTTAAAGGTATCATCAAAATTTCTCGTTCTACAGTGTTCGACAAATCTTTGTTCAAATCATATAGTACAATTTTTCGAATTCTAATCTTTCGTTTCATAGACAGAAAAATGAAATGTAATTTGAATTTGGCGAGTCGTAGACGGAAAATGACATATGTTTCATTTAAATCGAGCGATATCGATATGTGCTCCTCGAGTAGCTGAGATAGCGATGAATATCTTTTAATTCATTCTTTTTTCGAGGTCCCGAATGATTCGGACGATTCGGCCTTTAATTGATTAAAATATAGTTCGTTGTTCGAGCTCTTCCCTTGTTGACTATAACTATTACTTCACACACGATCGAAAATCGTACAGCAAATAAGATCAACTAGTTCATAAAGCTAATGAAGCGTTCACGTGGTCAAGTGTGAAAGAAGTTCGAGGATTTTCAGTGGTCGATGCCAGCGACGCGACACAGACCGTCAGAATTATGGGCAGGACGCAACTCGAGCACGGACGACGAGCCAGTATTTATCACGAAGAGTAAAACTGACAGCAGTCCATTTCCTGTTCGTCCTGCCTGTCTGGCTGAACATAATATCTCCTGACGAAACAACGTGGACGCCGTTTGTTTGGGAAACAATGGACCGAAACAATACCCAATCCCTCCTCGGCCCGCGGACGCGGATACGGACCACCATTCTGATTTCCACGCCCTGTTACTCTCTTCAGTCTTTCTATGGCGAGGAGATCTTTCCCGAGACTTTCCCGAGACGAAAATCCGGTTTCCAGGAAAAACTTTCTCCCGTCCCGGAGCATTCGTTACATGTATCAACGCGTCCTCCTATTTACCCGAACACCTGAGCTCTTATTCCAAGCGTTCTTCTTTGAAGAAGATAGCTGGAACAGAAGTCTGCGTGAATACCTTCGAAATAAATAGTGTTTCTTTCTTTCTTTCTTAAATTTAACACTAAAACTACCGAGCAATTGGAATGACATGTCTCCAATTTTTTGTAAAAATTGAAACACGCTTTTTGAGATTTGAATAGTCTCCTAGTCTCATATCTATATAAATACACAAATTTAATTCAAAATCTTTAGTAAAAACGCCTTCAGTACTTAAATACTTCTGGGTTAATTTAACCCGTTCAGTAGTTTTAGTGTTAACTAATTTCAAATTAATTTAATTTTAAGCAATTTTTTCACTTTTTTCAAATCAAGACTTTTTTCGTGGACCAGATAAGAATTTCTTTTTTCCCTTCGTGACATTATTACAATCGAGTACAATCGGATACAATCCGAGGGTTATCTGGTATTACGTCTAACAGTTACCAACGACATCAATTTTATTTCATCAAACTTAACACTAGGTTCACGGAACGCGCCAATTTGACACATATTGAATTTTATAAACATTATTTGCTGAACGTTTACGTCTATTTTCATACATGCAGTTGCACTATGTACCCTAATCATCTATCTACCAACCCCTAATTACTAAGATCTAAGTGAAAGAATATCCATTTTTTAAGGAACAACAGAATAAACTATTCAATAAACGTTCGTAAACCTAGTGTTAAATAAACAAAAAACTTGTGTGCTTTTAATTTGTTCGTTGCTAGCTTTCCATTTCATCATTACAATGTATTATGAACTATAACTAACAAGGGAGCTTCTGTAACGACAAATAGTGTAATGCCTATCTACATGCAAGGAGTGCCATCATTCTGAAGGATCTAAAGACCAAAAAAAGATTGCTAGATATTTTCCACCAAATTTCCTCATACCTGTAAAGTTGAAAGAAAATCGCGATGTTCGAGTTACTGATGCTCTCTTGTAAGCTTCGCACAAACGCCACGAACAGGCGGTTTTAGTTTGTTTGTATCGACGTGAGCATGGAATAATGGAATCCGTGATGATTCGAAGATATTATAACTTCATTAATCACGGTGTGCTGTCGGATCGTCGGGGACGTTCCCTCTAATTACTATTTGTCCTCGCTGCGATTGTTCATACAACCGCGGCGCGAAGTTTAATTGAAATACCTACGAGCGTGGATTCTCATTAACGATTTCACAGGGATTCCTCGAGGATTCCTCGGAAGACACCCGGAGCGAAACCGAACGTGCACTTGACAGAAATTAGTAATCCTTAATGGATGACGCGATGCAAGGCTGGTTTTACTCCAGCTTCCCTCCAGCGCCATAGGCGGTGCCGGTTCCGGCTTCCTTCGTCTTAGACTTAACAGCGGCGGATATTCAATTAATTTTAGAAGACAATAGTAGCTCGCTTCCGCTCCGCCGATTTGTACATACCTGTTCCGTGTTTTGCACTCTCGATTATTTGCGGCAGACGGACAGGGTGTACTATCAAAATTATTGACCGTGGTAAACCTTCTATCGCTTCCCACCGTCTCATCGTGTACTAGCCTATAATTTGCTGTTTAAAACTGTTCGTCGGTCTACGGTTCTTAAGAATTACGTATACCTATGTAATCTCAAGTGAAAGTCTTCAATTTCGTTTTTTCTTCGTTCCGTATAACAATATCTTCGCATAGTAGACAATAATTAATTGAATTACTTAATTAACTATACACTTTCAAATCGAAACTGTTACTGTTAATTTCGAAATATTTCGGCAATAATAGAAAATAGATTTTAACTTTAACTGAGGTTAAAGTTTTCTCTACAAGACATTCCAACGAATAATCAATTGCTATTAAATTTAGTCTTCATTCAACGAAGCAAGTTACATTTTGCTATCTTGCTACAAAATTATATAGATTACTGTGCTTAACATTGAAGATAACTCAAAATTTATAAAACAACATTGAACAGAAGATTACCAAGTGCAGTACAAACTATTCAAATTATTCAAGAACATTCCATAACACTCAACATTCAAAACTTTCCAATGTCTCCAGCTAATATCCACGAAACACCAAGATGACCACCACCACAGGCGATCCATCGACTTTGAAGACACCAGCCTCGTTGTCCGGCGGCGACCTGGTCTCCCGTCTGCTGGCAGCGACGCCTCCTTACCTGTACAACATGCCACTGACACCGCACAGCTTCTTCTTCAGTGAGATGCTGCGCTCGTTCGTGCAAGCTAAGGCGGAAGCGACATCAGCAGGGACAGGCACGAGCAGCGCGCCGAGACGTCGAAAAAGATCGTGGCGGGAGGCGCGGGACCGTCCTCTGGAGCTGACTACGAAGGAGAGGCAGCACCATCATCACCATCATCACCACCATCATCACCAGCAGCAGCAGCAGCAGCAGCAACAACAGCCGGAGAAGTATTTTCACACGCAACAGCCACAGCAGCCGGATACCCGGCTGGAGAACAGGGGCAAGCCGACCGACACGTACGATCCCGAAAACAAGATGGCAGCGTTCGAGCAGAAGCCGAGCTTCGGCGGTGACATATTGAAGCCCGTAGACGAGAACAGGTCGGACTTCAGTAAACAGAGCAAAAACTACTTCGACGAACGGCCGCGCCATTTCGAGCAGACACAACCACCGGAGAGCATATTCTCCAGCGAACTGCAGAAGGTTAAACCGGAAGAGACCCATTCGATAGATCGCAAGAACTGCAATTACAACGACAGAAGTCCTTACGAGGAGCGTACGAAAAGCGCGATAGGTAGTCAAGAGCTGCCTCTGTTACCTGATCAGAAAAAGCTAGACTTCTCCAGGAGCTTTCTGCCTGGGCTACCTGGAAGGGGCTGCGATATGCTTCAAGGGGTTAAAGGATTCGGTCTACCGGGGAATGTGACGAACCCGGAATTCCTGCCTAATCCGCTTTGGTACCCGCCGTACCCGATGCCACAGTCTTATCCCGGCATAGATCCGTTGCATTTTTTCATTGATCTCCGCGTGTCCGGTCACATCTGGGACCGGAAACTGAGCGAGAGGCAGCTGCCGTTCAAGGGGAAGCACTGTTCCGCGTTCAGCGTGCCGCAGTCGAAGGAGTACAGCAGCAATAGACCGTTAAATCTGACGAGGGACGAGGCGAGCACGTCCAGGAGTGGCGAGGAGAACTCACACGGCACTAATTACATTCTTCGACACTTGACCAGGACGTACAGGAATATCGGCCAGGCGCAGAAAGTGTCCAGAGGCGAGACTTCGATCGAGGAGAGCGAAGACAGCCCGAAGGATATTGATAGTAGTGAGTGTCGGGGGTTCGTTTGATGAGCAAGCTCTAGTTTCTATGCATGCTTCGCGCTGATAGTGGTTTCTTGTGAAGTTGGTGCTCGTGACACGTTTTTTTCGATGGGTAATATGTATATTGGAAGAGGGAAAATACAGAATGGTTTGGATCTTATTTAAAGATGATTATTGGGAACTAATTTATTAGGAATATAAGGAATATTTAAGAGGAATATAAATTGCTTTCACGACAAGAGTACGTGATGATGCAGGAGATAGCGTTAGCTTGAATTATGTTGCATTGGATCAGCTGAATATAGATGAAATTTTTAGGACTTTCGCATATGACCCTCAATGTGCAAAACTACTAACTGAAATACCAAATCGCGATGCATTTATATCGTTGTACAAAACATAATACAATCAGCATTCTTGTTTTTAGATACATAATTATACATATTAAATACATAAAACGTGAAATAAAGATTCAAATGAATTCCAGTGAACCTTCTGTTCCATTCTGTTTTTAACAGATGAAATGAAAACTGTATAATTGATGAACGTATGAAAAATATAAAACAGCACGAACAGTCACAAGTTAGTGACAACGATAGATCACCATTGAGTGTCCTGTGTGAAGAGTCATTCGAGAATAGCTTAATTCTTGAATAGAAAAGGAGTTATTAATCAGTTCAAAATTCATTAGACGATAGATTCCCGAAAGCGGAAACGCCTGGCACCTCGTCGTCGAACCAAGAGGAAGGGAGGAAGGATCTGCGGGCTCTGATCGGCCTCGAGCTGGTCGTTGACTACGTGAAAGAGCCAAAGGGAGAACCATCGAACGAGCAGACTTCGCAAGTAACCGAATAACTCGTGAAAATCGAACGACTCACTTCCGTTCTCGCCTGTATAAATAGATGTAGCTCCGGCTTCGCTCGGCCACCGTCATTCATGGTAATATAGGAAGCTCTGAACTTTATCGACCGGTCGTCAGAAACGAACCGATCCACCATTCCCCTTTACAATATACGACATCGACGAGTGATTATAGCGAAGTGAAAAAGAACTTTCGATCTAAAGGTGCAGATGCACTAGCAAGTCATTTGGGACATTTCTTTCCGATAGCGACTTGTAGAAGTGTTTCTATTCTATTTTATTCTATTTTATTCTATTTTATTCTATTTTATTCTATTTTACTCTATTTTACTATATTTTATTCTATTTTATTCTATTTTATTCTATTTTACTCTATTTTACTCTATTTTATTTTATTTTATTCTATTTTATTCTATTTTATTCTATTTTACTCTATTTTACTCTATTTTACTCTATTTTATTCTATTTTACTCTATTTTACTCTATTTTACTCTATTTTACTCTATTTTACTCTATTTTATTCTATTTTATTTTATTCTATCCTATTTTATTTTGTTCTATTTATTCTATTTTACTCTACTTTGTTTTATTTTATTATATTTTATTCTATTAGTATCACAACTGAATTGAGTTACCACTAGCAATCTTAGATGCGTTTACATAAGGTACAGATACATTAGTAATTTTCGACATTTTTTTTCTGTTAGTGACTCTCATGACATGCGTACTCTGAGAATACTTGCAACAAGTTCAATTCACCTGTGATAGCAATAAAATAAAATAAAACAGAAGTCTAAATACTTCCGCTATCAAGAAGAATGTTACAAATTTTTTGCTCGCGTATCTCCATCTTAATTCGAAGATTCGTTCTTCTTCCCTCCTTCCGTTCGGTACACCTTTTTAAGATCGAAACTATTATCGGTGTTGCGTTTCACATACTAAACGAACACACGATTTCCCTAACCGGATTACATTGAAATCAGTAGTAAACACTTTTACCGGCGATAATTTTCGCCGGCGGTACTTCATCGACGCTAATTTTAAACGAAGCGGTATAATCACAATCGATTTTAATTCTATCAAAGTTAAAATGAAAATTAAACGGAGATTAACCGAGAAACTGTGGGTTTTGTAGACTTATAGGGTAGTGCGCGTTTAATTACAGTACAGAATATATCCGCGTAAAAGTTGAATGATACCCATCTTTTATTTGTAAATAATTGTCGACGAAACATAAGAATCGTTATATCATTGAAATAATTCACAAATATCTATAAATGCACAAGTACGCTTTGTTGAAATGAAAATTATGTTGGCATCTTTTTTTCATTATTTCATTATGTTCTTAAATTCAATATTTGTCTATGCTGAAGTTTCAGTAAAAAATATTTCATGCTAATACATTTCGAAACGACTTTACAGTTTGAATAAATGTGTAAAAAATTGATGAAACGTTAAGTGCATTCGAAAGTTCGACAGTTAAAACGCAGTGTTCGTTGTTTGTTGTCCCTTTATTGTGAACAATTTCAGATTAATGTTGCGTTCATAAACGGATTATAATTGATGTCAATGAAATGCCGCCGACGAAAGGTTTATCCACGAAACTTTGTCTGTGATTCTCCACCAACTTACTTCAATCTAAAAAAAAGTTTAAGTAACGTTTAATGGCACCGACATACACACACACACGCAACCTTTTGATATCACCATTTCAAGTATCGCACATTCGAGATACCGATATGTTTGATTCCATTCTAACTTACTGTCGTTCTTTCAAAAGACTTTTCCTATTGTTGAATTCGAGTCTCGATTCGAAGAGTCACCTTTTAGCGAGGAGACGGGGGATCTTAGAGATCCTCGGGGAGCAACGGGAAGCTCCGCTCCGAATTCGACTTTATGTGATATACTCTGTAAATATAGTAACGTTCTACTGTATCTATATGTACTGATAGAAAGTATTCGACGTGTATATTAAACGTAATAAAAATAATGCAACTCAAACACGTCATTTCATTCTATGTTCCTTCTACAATAAATGAAGAAAGATGCACAAATTAATCTACTACGAAATA